GCGAATATTACACAACTTTAAGCTTAAAAATAAAGCATAGGTACAAATAAACACGCCGAAATTCAATTTGATATCATTAATATAGCGGCAGTGAAAATGAAGAATTTTATTCAGTCTCAAGGAGAAATTCCAATTGAGAGAAAAGCGAAAAAGAATTTATGTTCAGTAATACCTTTGAATAGCAAATTGTCCGATGAAAACGGTCATATATATATATAATAGTTCAACGTTGCAAAATGTTAATGATTATGACGTCAAATGAGTCTTCATTAGATATATGTACTTTGAAGGCGTCGCTCAAACTGCTCAAAAACGTTTTTATAAGCACCAGGAGAATATTGGTAGTCGTTACATTGCTTACAATAAATTTAATGTCATGAAGCCATTTCTAATCGACTATTTCAAAGGTCGTGTATCGTACATGTCGACGTTTAAATCAGCGTTTGAATAAGACGATTTTGCGCGGTGCAGAACTACTGGCGCTGCCTTGTACAGTCTTACCGAACTTAATTGATCTTGACGTCATTTCATTAGCTTATTGAACGATTAAACCTTCGACACTCAAAGAGCTCACAGTGAATCAGAAATTATGTCGACAGGCGTCATGTGAGTACTTTTAAAAATATATTTAACTGGTAAGAATAAAGAAGTGATTTCTGCAAAGAAAAAAACAATTTTTTCGTCTTCACATACTTATTGTTATGTGAAATACAACGAAAACTAACCGTAATATAAAGGCCTAGGTTCTTGTACCAGCCAAGAGAAAGATAACGACTTCACAACAATTGGTTACTCTATTCTGATGAGTGATACATCTCGTAAACTTCCATATCGTCCTCCAATTCGTTAAATGGATGATTAAAAAACTAGGTAGAAATAAAATCAAATTATCGATTTTCTGCGCTGGAGCTGAGATTTGTTTGTATTTTCTTGAAGTTTATATAATAAGTTCTCTTTTTTACTTTGGTTTTCGCAATCACATCTTAAAATTGATTGTTTGTTCGTGCATATGAGCACATAACTACTCCATTGGAAGCAAAGGATTTTTACGATATGTAAGACACTTTGACGTTAGGGTTTCGCCGTAAACTTTGAATCCTACTAATTTCTCTATTAAGTGCCATTAACGATTCGATGACGGCACCCGTGGTAAATAAGAGGAGAACACGAGAAACAACTATCATAAATTTGTTAAATAGAAGAAGAATTTTACAAAACCCTACAAACAATTTTGTGATCTTCGTTTGCACCATAGTTAGTAGAAGGAGACTATAGTCTACTAACTATACTAACTATATGTTTGCACGTTACATCATAGATAAAAAAAAAGATTAATTAAAACTTAATTTCCAATTAAATCGATTTTACTCTAAAATATAGTTAGAAAACTATGTTTCGAGATGATTTTTTAACTTATATG